TCTTCTCAGGGGTTCTCTAGTTCCTACCTCACGACCATGGCCATCTCAGTTATCCTAGGAGTGACAGCATGGTGGGGGGTGGGGTTCAAGGGATTTCCAGTTTGGGGAGCATCCTTTCCTGGTACAGGCAAAAAAAACTGTATAATGTCCATTTCTATACTTAATAAAATCCAATCAAGTCGAGCATTTGGAAGATCTCATTTCCTGGATTCAAGAAAGAAATGAAGCTCTCAGGAAGGAAGGGGAGGTGATGGAACCAGTAAGGAAGGAAGGATACATATTTCACGTCTTCTCTTTTCCTGCCCACCCCTGCCCCTTACGTCTTTTAAGAAATCTTGTGGGGGGGGTGTATTTTCACAATGAGGTGAAACTCAAAGCTTGAAGAGCAATCCTACCATCTAAGCACAACTGTGTATTTCCTAAGATACACAGGCAATGGGGTATAGAAATCTATCTTATCCTACAGGAAAATAGAAGAATGGCATAAAAGAAGATAGGAGCAGGTGATAGAAGGGAGGGCAGATTGAGGGAAGGGGTAATCAGAATGCACACTGGCTTAGGGTGGGGGGAGGGGAGAGATGGGGGAGAAAATTTGGAACTCAAAATCTTGTGGAAGTGAATGCTGAAAACTAAAAATAAATAATTTTAAAAAAAAGAACACTCACAACAACAACAACAAATAAGTCTGTATTTTCCCCAAAGTCCAGCCAGCTAGCTTTGACCCTTCTAGCTGGGTTGGCCAAATTCTACTAAATGCAACTAAAAAAGTGTAAGCTTTGGGGATTGTTCTGCATAGCTTTTACTAGTAAGTTTAAAAAAAAGGCATTTTTATCAAGGTTGCAACTGGGGAATGGCTGAATACATGGTAGCATATGAATGTAATGAAATGTTATTATGCAGAAATAGGAGGAATTCAGCAAAATGTGGGATGATCTGTATGAACTGATGCAAAGCAAAATAAGCAGGACCAAAAGAAAAAATGCACAACAGCAACAGACAACAAGGTAATTGAGAAGCTCACTCAAAGAAGTAGAATTTGGAGTGAAAGTCCAGCAATGGTCCCAGAGAACAGATAATGAAATGTACCTTCTTCTTCTCTATGAAGAGTAATAGGAGTCATCGTGATACATAGAAAAGAGCACATAGTCTGCAGTCAACAGGACCTGGGTTTGAATTATGCCTCTGCTACTTAGTATATGTGTAATATCTTGGGCAAGTAATTTAACTCCCTTAGTCCTCAGTTTCCTCATGTGTAAAATAAGGAGGTTGGTGAGATGGCTTCTAAGGCCCCATCTAGCTATGATTCCATGACTCCCCGGACGGAAGAGGGCATATACTGTTAAGGGTTCTGTTCTAGAATCAACTGTTTTTGCTTAGCTACTTTTCTTTGTTCCAAGGGATAGGTCTAACAGGGAAGGGGGAAAGACTGTCTAAAAAGGACTATGATATATAAAAACAAGAGGCTTCAGTAAAATTTCTTTTAAAACAAAAAATAAACATGAAGCGTATCGAGGAGAGTCTATCTGGGGAAAAGCAATTGAACATTCTAACAGCAGAAGCCCATTCTGACAGAACTTTACACACAAAGTCTTCATTTCTACTTGGGAGGTTAGTAGATTGCTTGAGTTTGGGAGTTCTGAGTTTCAGCAAAGTTAAAGCAATAAGTGCCCAAACTACATCAGCGTAAGTCATGATAGTATAAGTCACTAGTGATTCACCCCTAGTGGAGAGAGAGTCTACAGGCTAACTAAGCCCAAACCATAAAAGGTCAAGGAGTCAGGTCCATGACTGGCCACTGCACTTTGAGCCTGGACAAGACAGGGAGACCCAGTCTCAATCAAGAAAAAAACAGCCCTGGGAGAAAGGGAGGGCAAAGTTAACATCTGCTTGTTACACATAGCCATTTTACTCTTCTTCATTGTATCCCCACTGCCTATTCACAGATCCTGGGCACACAAAAGGGGTTTAATACTGGTTGAATTGATATGTCCAGAAGGCTCAAAAAAAAACCTAATGGATTCTGTCTTGTAGATTCGGAGCCAGAAAGGAGCTTTGGGGCCATCTTGAAGCTCAAACTTCCCATTAGATTGTAAGCTCCTTGAGGGGCGGGTCTGTCTTTTGCCCCTTTTAGTATTGCCAGTGCTCAGGACAATGCCTGAAACATAATAGGTGCTTAATAAATGTTTATTGATTGATGTGAATGATTTTACAGAGGAGAAAAATGAAGCCCAGACAGTTGAGGTTGCCTAAGGGTCACAAAGTTCAGAAGTGTTAGGGCTAGGATTAGAACTCAGACCCCTGGGATCCAAGTTCGGTGCTCTTTCCCCTACAACTGTATCATTTCTGAACAAATACAGACAAGCCTTTTTAAAAAGTCAACCAATGCTAACATTGTCATTATCAAGCCTAGGCTAGATAAGTCACCAGAGATCTCAGAGGAAAACAGTTTGGTCGGAAGGACCCTTGAAAAGAAGTATCTCTTGAACCCCGGCATTCCTTAAGGTCCCAAGGGAAGGAAAATGGGAGGGAGAAGTTTGGAGGAAGGGAGAGAAGAGAATCCAGGGTTCTTCTTAGGGCCAGTTGGTACATAAAGTGTTTGGGCTACAACGTTCTAATTACTGAGGCTGATTAAGTCAGACTTCAAAGCTGGGATTACAATGACATCAGTCCCCATCAGCCCCGTGTGCTAAGCTCACAGCCCTCTCAGCTCAGCCACAAACCAGTGTGGCAAGGCTGAGCACACCAAATATTTCTACTATTATTGCAGCATGTTTACAAGCTGATGATTACTGAAGTCAGTTCACACATACTCTTTCTTTTTTTTAACCTCTTATCTAAACACATGTGTAGGCCTCTGCCCTTGTAGTCAAGCCAGACAGCAGGGCTGGCATCAACAGCACGTGTAGTCTGGCCACCAAGCAAGCCAGCAGGCACACACCAAGGGAGGAGGATTTCCTCAGACAAAGCCTTCCCATGATGCTGGGTGATCCCTGAGCTCCCTTCTAGCTCCAAAGCAGTAAGTGTAAAGTAGAGGGGCAATACAGCCTAGTAGAAAAAGCACTGGACTTGGAGTCAAGAAGATCCCAGTTCAAATCCTATTTCAGACATTAAGGAGCTGTGTGACCCTAGGCAAGTCATTTAACCTCTTTCAGATTCAATTTCCTCATCTGTAAAATGGGAATAATAATAGCACCACCCTAATACAATTGCTGTGAGAAGAGCTTTGTAAACCTTAAGGTACTACGTAAATGTTGGTTATAAGCACAATAATTATTATTTTTGACAGATTACTAGCAGGTTTCCCTAAAGAAACACCTTCATGGTGGAAACAGTAATGGCTGATGGAAAGAGTGCTAGGTTTAGAGCAGGGATGGGGAAACTTCGGCCTTGAGGCCACATGTGGCCTTCTAGGTCCTTGGGTGCAGCCTTTTGACTGAGTCCAAGTTTTACAGAACAAATCTTTTTTTATTAAGGGGGGTTCTGTGAAATTTGGATTCAGTCAAAGGACTGAACTTGAGGACCTAGAGGGCCACATGTAGCCTGGGGGCCACAGGTTCTCCACCTCTGGTTTCAAGTGAGGAAGACCTAGGTTCAAATTTGGCCTCTGACCTTCCAAACTTTGTGACCACAGGCTACTTCTTTTAACCTTTCTCAGCCTCAGTTTCCGTGTTTGTAAAATGTAAGTGATTATACCCATAGGACTTAACCCTCATGAGGTTTCTGGAAGGACTAAAATGAGCTGATGTATATAATAAAAAGGACTTTTGCAAATTTTCAAGTGCTATAAACATGTCTGTTACTATTATTGTAATCACAAGTAGCAGAGGCTCTATTCAACAGGAGACCATGTTGCCAATATCCATACCAAGGGCAGGATTCCCACTGCCCATAGCAGAGACATGCTAACTGCCCGTGCAGCTGCACCAGCCTTCTTCCATCACAGCCCTTCTTAGTCACAGGGCATAGTGTTTACAAACACTTCCAATGGAGAAGTCAACCATAGCAAGAGGACCTAGCCCTGAGGCAAGCAATTGTCTCCAGGCTTTGCCAAAGATTCACCTAAACCCAGGAAATAAGTATTTAAAAAAAAACCCAACCCAGCAGATCTAGTGGAGGCTAATAATCTGGACTCCATACACTCTGGTGACTCTTAAAAGCCCCCGCTCTGAATGCTGAAGAAGACAAGTTATTACTCCAGGATTCCTAGTAATTAAAGATCTCAGATACAGGGGTAGGTGAGGGTGGGAGTGCGGATTGATAGGATCGTCTAAGTCTGGCTGGAGAAACAACAGGCTTGTCAAGACTGCTGCCCCAGGGAATGAAGAAGGGCCTGGATGGGGTGGGGAGCATGTGCCAACACTGGCCAGGGATGGAGAGGGGGGCACTGCAGCTATCCCATGGCACACTTGCCTTCCTCCTCCTACCCCAGGCAGACCTGCCTGCTGTGGTGGTGGGCAATGTAGCTATTTCATCTTTAACTGAAACCACATCAGAATATTTATATCTTAAAGCTAGCAGAAGCACGGATCAGCAACAGATGTCCAAACTCCCAGCAAAACCACAAGGCCTCCAAGGTCTCCGGCAGCACCTTTTACCAATTCCCCCCAACCCCCATCCCAAGACCCCTCTCCTCAGCACAGAAGTGCTAAATGCAAGGATTTTCTATCTGAAGAGTCCAGGGGTCCATGAGGCAAGTCCTACGTTTCCTTTGGTTTGAGGAGCCTCTTTCTCTTGCCCGGATCTCACGCGTTTGACAACGCAAAGCCTGGCCTGGCTGTTACACTGGGGTTGGTAAAAGTTGCCTCCAATTCTCCAGCTCGGGCCAGGCAACCAATCACAGGTGCCAGGATTAAGCAAGGCACCTCTCCGAAACAATACTTCCTTCCCCCGGGAGGCTAAGCCAAGAGGTGGGCCCAGGGCGGGCACATCGGCTACCACCTGAGCCCTCCCTCCCACGGAAGACCAGGAGAGGTGCCGGGAGAGGCACCGGGAGATCCGAGATGGCCCGAGTGGGAGCCACAGCCCCGAGGGACCTCGCAAAGGCGGCGGGGCCACCGACATAGGGCAAAACATAACTTCCTGTTATTAAAGCACGGGGGTGGAGGGGACATATCCCGGAGGTGAGGAAGGGAGGAGAGGCTGGAAGAGGGGAAATGAGCTGGGACCACAGGTCAAAGAGACAAGACTCAATCCGTGGGACTTCGGTTGTGTAGGATTTGACTGGTCCCGAAATATCCAAAGATAGAGGATTGGCACCCGACCAAGCTGGTGGATTATTTTTTTGGGGTTTTTTTTTGGGGGGGGTTGTTTGTTTGTTTAAATGGGTCAAAGGCTGTCGGGCATCTCAGGCTGTCGAGTTTGTTTGCTTTGAAAGTTCGGTTTGTTTAAAATTGCTCTTTTCTAATAGGAGGATCAAAGTCTCCGTCCCAGAGCAGCCTCTCCCTAGGGGCACCCTTCCCCCTGCCTTTCCAGAGAGCCCTATCTGCTTTCAGTGAAACCCTACAGCCCCCTCCTAATCCCCTGTGCCCGCGGCTGCTCCCGAGGTTGGGGATGATGAGGCCCTGGACGCCCCCGCACCTGCGTCCAGCCCAGTCCAGCCCAGCCTGTGGCCTCTCCTCCCCGGTGCCCGCCCCGCGAACCCCGAAGCCACAAGCCTTACAGTGCGGCACGGCGCTCCGGGAGCGCATGGTTCTCGGCCACCGGCCCCGGCTCTCCTCCACCTCCTAGTCCCGCCCGCGGGCGCGGCACCCCAGGACTGCAACAGCGCGGCGGCTGGGGACTGACTGAGCCGGGAGCTCCTGGCTCGGCCAGTGAAGCTGCCCCACAGGGGCGGGGCGGCCTCCCCCGGCCCGGCCTCCCTCCAATGGGAGGGCAGCCCGGAGCCCCGGCCCCGCCCTGCCGGGCTAGCTGTCACCGCGGACCGGCGCACGTGGGCTGGAGCTGCCCCTGCTGCCGGGCCCTGGAGGAGTGCCGGGGGGAGGAACTGGCCCCAGCGCTAGCCCAGCCCGCTTGGGGAAAGCGGGCCCGCCCCACTGCAAAAGCACGCAGGTAGGTGCCCCTGCCTGCCCAACCAGCGCTTTCCCGGTGAAGCTCCAGGTTTGCGCCGCCCCCGCTACCAATTGGATTAGGAGCGAGAGGCGCGTCCCAGCTTGGGCGCCTAGGAAAGGGCGCAGAACTGAGGGCGCCGCGCTCCCACAGGCGGGGGTGGGAGCGGAGGGAAACAACGGAAAGCGGAAGGATCCCAGCTGTGGGAGATGGGCTCAATTTGTACCAAAACGGGGAAAACTGAGTCCACAAACACTGGCCTGGGGGTCAGCGCTCGTGGGTCCTCCCAGGGCCCGTTTCCTCCTCTTTACATTGGGAACAGCACTAAGTAACCCTGAAGGTCCCCATAGCGATGGCTTTCTGCTGTCTTGGACCCCAACATCACTTCCTGATTCTCTGTCAGCAGCAGCCTGGGGCGAGCCTCTAAGTACAAAGTCCTTTCTGGAGTCTTCGGAATCTCTAACATCAGACTCTTCCGCTCGGCTCTCACTGCGACGCGGGATCTCATCACCTCTCTTTTGAGCTTTTATAATTAGCTGCTAACTGACCTGTCTTCAATGTGTTTTCTCTCCCATTCATTCTTCACCCACGTTGCGTAATCAACCTGACACGCTATTATGGTCGTGGACGCTGGTTGGTTCCAAACCCTTTTAGTGCTTCCCCCTTTGCCAATGAAATGAAGTACAAACTACTGATCTAGGCATTTGAGGGCCTTCGCTGCCTGACTGGAAGTAGATACATAAACCATACATATGATAATTTGAAGCGTAGGGAGAGAACCCTAAACTGAGAGAATCAGGAAATGCTTCCCTGGGAGATGGCATAGAAAATGAGCCTGGAGGCCTGCTGGTGCCAGCTAGCACTGGCTTCCAAGAGATCCGATTGTTAAGGGTTTTTTGTAAGCATTTCGGCAAATGCTACAAATCGGGGCTTAATTTATTGTTGTGCTGATCGACTAGACATAAGAAAGCGCTGGATGTTAATCATGTAGATCACACTTAAAAGTGAGGCATACACATTCCAAGCCCCCCACCCCCACCTCAGTTGTTGTTAATGATTTACAGGCACACCCCAGGATGAGCCTTGAAGGAAGATAGAGATTGTAAGAGGCAGAAATAAAGTGATAGTACATTCTATGCCTGGAGGACAGACTGTGGGGGGAAGTGGAGGTCTCAATTCAGAGAACAGCAAATGAGCTGATCTTTGGGGAATGCAGTGTGTGAAGGGTGCTGTCAGCCTACACAGAGAGGCCAAAGCTAGATGGTGAATGTCATGCGCAGGAATTTGATCCTGGAGGAGCCTCTGAAGATGCTTGAGCCGGGAAATGACATGCCCCGACTTTGTGTTTTAGGAAGATTATTTTGAAGCCTTCCCTAATACACTCTTCACTCCCCCTTGCTGAAAGCCATCCCTCCATTACTTCAGTTTCTCCTTGTATTCTATCTGAAACTCTAGCCTTTGTACTCCTGCCGATCTCCTCTGTAATCATAGTTATCACTGTACGTGTTCTTTGACTGTTGCTCGATGAGATCCTTGAGAAAAGAGCCTGTGTAGAAACCCTCTTTGTTGTTCCCGTGCTGAGCCCAGTGACATATAGAGAGGAGTCAGCAGTGTTGAATCAAGTGTATTGAAAGGACCAGTGGTTGCTAACCTGGTCTGCAGCCAATCCCTTGACCTATGCCTTCCTGCTGTATTAAGTACAGACACTGATGCTCATTAAACCCTAGACCGGCCCCTGGGTGATCGATCATTCTACTTTTTATTTTAACCTTAGAGAGGAAGGGCACAGTGCAATCAGGAAGACCTGAGTTCAAATCCAGTCTCAGCTTTCTTATCTGTAAAATGGGGATAATAATGGCACTTACCTCCCGAGCTGTTATGAGGACCAACCCAGAACATGTATAAAGCATTTTGCAAACCTTAAAAGGCTAAATAAATGTTAGCTGTCATTCTTATATATTACCTCTGACCATTTTAGACCATAGTGAAGCCATTGTTTTTAATCTCCATTTTACAGAAAAGGAAACCAGAGATACTGTGACTTGGCCAAGGTCTTGGATTAAAAGGCCCTGAGAGGGGACCAGAAGCCAGACACTCAATGTTTGGTCCAGTGGCCTTTGAGAAAACTACCGCACCAGCTCCCCTGCCCTGAGCTCCCCTTGGGCTGCTCAGCCCCATCAGGCACAGGTGGCAGTTTGAATACTCTTAGCATGCTCCCAGGCAGTCAAAAGAATCCACAGAATCACAGAGCTAGAAGAGGCCCCCTCGGCCATCCAATTTAACCCATAACTGAACAGGAATGCGCCCTTTCATATGTCTGCTCAAGTTACCTAGACTTCAATGAAGACCTCCTTTTCTAGGGAACTCACTCTTTTCCAAACAGCCAGTTTGAAGCAGCTCTGAATATTAGAAAGTTTTTCCTTTTCCAAAATCTGCCTCTTTGCAACTACTGTGTAGTCAGGACAAAACTAGACACTGGGAGAAAGTTAAAAAAAAAAAGGATAAAGTTCTGGCCTTCAGGGAGTTTCCAGTCTTAATTGGGGGAAAGGCACTGAATTCATTCTTGGAGGGGGGGAAGGGGACACTTACAGTAAGCTGCTATATGTGATGATGGGGCAGTTAGGTGGCACAGTGGATAGAATGACTCATCTTTCTGAGTTCAAATCTAGTCTCAGACACTAGTTCTGTGACCCTGGACAAGTCATTTAACCCTGTTTGCCTCAGTTTCCTCATCTGTAAAATGAGTTGAAGAAGGAAATGGTAAGCCACTCCAGTACCTTTACCAAGAAATCCCAAATGCATTCACGAAGAGTCAGACACGACTGAAATAACTGAACAACAGTTAGGTGTTAACGAAGACGCAAAAAGCCCAAGCAGAGAGGATTTGAGACCCCTAGTTTAACAGCACCACTATCTTCTTACAATCTATGTTGCTGTGAGGTAATAAGAGGTAAGAAGTGGGTAGAATGCTGGACTGGGAGTCAGAAAGACCTTAGTTATATGTCCCTGGGAAAGTCACTTAAACTTTCTGTACCTCAATTTCCTCATCTGTAAAATGAGGGGGGAGGTTGACATGATGGCTTTCCAGCTCTGACTCTATTCCTGACCCCATCTGGGAAAGATACTGGAGTAATTTGCCATTTCCTTCTCCTAATGCAAACAGTGTTAAGTGACTTGCCCAAGGTCACAGAGCTAGTAAGTGTCAGAGGCTAGATTTGAACTCAGGGAGATGAGTCTTCCTGACTTGAAGCCCAGCACTTGATGGAGTGCTCTTGTCTAAGGTCACCCAGGTATTAAGCAGAAGAGGGAAAATTTGAATTCGGGTCCTCTGACTCCAGACTTTTTCCCATTATACCTGGATGTCTGCCTCCATAGCCATTGGGGTTTTTTTTGGAGGCAGTTGGGGTTAAGTGACTTGCCCAGGGTCACACAGCTAGTAAGTGTCTGAGACTGGATTTGAACTCATGTCCACCTGACTCCAGGGACAGTCCTCTATCCACTGTACCACCTAGCTACCCCACTCCAGCCATTTTCTGAAACAAGCAGAGTGGAGCTAAGCAGTTCCCTGGATGCAGTAACTTCATGGGGAAGTTTGACTCATGTTGCTTCCCACAGCTTTTAATTAAAATGGGCAGAATTCTGGAAAAGAGTTGTCATGGCAGTTGTTTCTAGGTCACCTGAGCCTGTCACTTCAAAGGCAGAAAAGTCTCTGTTTTTAAGAGCATCCATTTTGATCCCAGAAGAAGCCAAAGGGTCTCATGGGAGTACCACAGGAATGAACGCCTCCCTCTCAGCTCTCCTCAAGCAGACCAGATCTCTGGGAAAGATGAAGGCTTGGTGGATGTCTTCTCAGAGAATTTCAACAGCTCTTTAAATGAAATCAAGGCTTTCTTTTTTCTTTCTTTCTCTTTTAAAAAGAGGACATCATAGATTTAGAGCTGGGGGGTATCTCAGATGTCAACTAATTCAGCAGTTTCATTCCAGATGAGGAAAGTGAGGCCTAGAGAGGCTGTGACTTGCCAAGGTCACACAGGTAAGGAAGTAGAAGAGCCAGGAATGGAACCCAACTCATCTGCCTCCAATCCCAGCACTCTTTCCTCACAACCACTGACCCTGAAGAGCTCAGAAGGCCTGAATTTAGAGAAAAGAAACCTGGGTTCTAGTCCTGGCCCTGCCACTGGACTTCTGTGTGATTTGGAGAAAGTCCCTTCCTATCTCTGGGCCTCCATTTGCTTCTCTTTAAATTAAGGGATTGCTCTTGCATCTCCCAAGGCCGTTTCAGACACCATTTCAGACACCGTCTGTGATTATGTATCTGTTCTGTTCATCTATGGGCTTCTGAGATAGACTGGGAACATTTGTACTTGGCATCTGTTTTCTAAAATACTCCCCAGTTAGTCATCCCAGAGCTTGAGAAGCAAGGTCATCCAAGCCTTGTTCCAGGTCTGTAGCATCTTAACTTCCCACAGAACATACCATCTCTTACAGAAGATACCATGTTGGTGAGAAAGGTGCTCAGGACCAAAAGAATTCCCCATGTGGGGGATGGTGGAGGTCAGAATTATAGAGGGAGGTTTGGAAAACAGGCAGATTCCTTTTGTGGCTTATAGAAATAGCCTTCAGAAGAACTGTTCTCTTCCGTGGGTCTCCAGTGGCTCAGACAGAGAACCAAGGAGTCAGAAATTTGTGAGTCCAAATTGGAAAATGACAAGCTGGCACTATCAGTTAATGTTAGCCCACGAAGGAGATCCAGCAAATAGAAAGAGGCCAAGGGTGGGTGTGGAGAGCACAGAGGCATCTGAATGGGGCACTGGATAAGTTAAGTCGTCCATCTAGAAATAGCCAGTGAATATCTGAGATTCCCTAAGGCAGTTGTGAAATCAAAAGGGAATCACTCAGGTCAGTCAGACCCAGAAGAATGGTTTCCTAGGGCTCGGCTGGTGATGAGTCTGAACACAGTCAGAGCCACAAGGGCTCAAGATAACAGGACTGGCTGACTCACA